ATAATAATTTACTCAATACATGTAACGTTACGCTCGTCTTGCTCTAGGCAATGCACAAATTTTAATTATCATGTGAAAGACAGATTTTTAAAATTTGAAGAAACTGTAATTATGACGCCAATACGTAAATTTTTCTCAAATATTTGACTGTCTTGACACGGACTTACTATAATCTCTATAGGTACTCTGGTTTCTATTGTGTGAGCCGTATTTTCCTATCGTCGGTTCATGTCACATGTCTTAAAACTTTAACCAAATTCTTTTTCCTAATCGGTTATGCAACTTATCATATACCTTAATGTATCATGAGTTGCCAACTTTAAGTAGTAATCAAGCATTACTTTTATATCAAAATAGCTTAATAGGTATAGGCGAGGAAATGAAGCACTAAACCTACCAATTTTCCACAGTAAGATGAATCGGTATGCAAATTCTTGCATCCGATTCAAGAAAGTGTCAGGAAACTTTGTCAAGGAAAAATTTTTAATTCGAAAAATGTCAACAGGAATGAGTTCAATTTTGTTACTCGGGACTTTCATGTTAATTTCATTCTAAATCAGTCAACAGTCATTACTCAGGGGTTTTTGAGGTCGCTGAATACGAATATGATAAACGATAATGGTCCTCGATCTAGCTGGGCCCTTATTCTATTTCATTTCGATGTCGAAATTTAAAAGCGACTACGCCATGGGATTTTAGTTAAAAGTGGGGACATTTACTTTATCATTTTGACACTGCTCAGAATTTGGGTTGGCCGTCTTGTTGTTGTTTATTGGCTGCACGCTGCACGCTTGTTAAATGTTTGTTTTGTAGTTTTGTTTGCATTTTACGATTTTTGTTTCTTGTTTGAGTTGTTAAATTTTTAGTGGCCATTCTCAAGGATTATATTTTGAATTGAAAGAAAATGGATGGAGGCTGTTGGTGATGGTGGAACTAAATTGTCTGTGGACCAAAAAGAAATTATGATGGCTTTTGACTTAGTGGTTATATTATACTTTTAAATTTACTGCAGCTTAGTATTGGTATTACTAAAAACAATACATTACCGCTCTAAAAATTCTTGATGAGTTTAAAGATTATTTTATATCTCCAAATAATAGTATAGAATTAAAATAAATTATTACAACCAAATTATTTATTATTTCTATCTTCCCTTACAGCCTGTTGAATATATTCAAAAATTGTGGTTTCCAATTTAGTTTTAATATTTAGACATTTTATTTCTTTAATTTTTACACCACAGTATATTTTAAAAAATAATCAGTAGCATCTGGCTTGGGGCCCCCAGGTACCGCAGTTCTATTTTTATATGTGTTAAAATTTCGACCAATTATGTGCCGAATCACATACAATTTTTGATAAAACGCAGCCATATTAATACTTTTTGCCTCAGTTTTCGTTGCAATAATCAAACATAACAACACCGCCTAAACTGAACCTAACCTCGCTTCTCCCAGTCCCGCTAGTCATGTCAGATTAATTTCGACTCGAAATTAAATTTCAACCACTTTCTTGAAATTGAAATTAATTTCGATAAATCGAAATTTAGTGACGTCCTTTGGTTAGTTCAGCTGAAATCCACTAGGCTCGCAAAGTCGCATTTCGACGTCGCCATATTGATTTCAACATGTTTTCAGTCGAAATCTCAATTAGAATCAGGGCCCTAGTCTCCAAAGTGGACCTCGTCTTCAGGAGTATTATATTTGCATTCTAAATTAGTCGATAGTTATTATTCGGCAGGTTTTTGAGGTCGTTAAATATGAATATGATAACGATAATGATCATAGAGTTACCTGATGTCCATGTTGGACCTCGTTTCCGGGAGTTATTGTTGATTTCAGTATAAGTCAGTCGACAGTCATTGCTCGGAAATTTTTTAGGTTGCTGAACATGAATATGATAATGACGAAGGTCGTCGAGCTACCTATTGCCCAGGGAGGACCTGCGTACTGCAGTATTCTGCATAAGGATCTGTTGATCCACCTAGAAACTTCTCTTATTGACAGACCGACTCACGCATCCGACAATTTGACTCCTCACCGCCAAGTGACTTTAAACTTTAAAATTTTATCACTTATCCATAGCAAAATAAGTCAATATGTGAAACTTAATGATTTTCAATAAACATACGCAGGTGTTTGCCTATTATTACGAAAGCAACTAAAAGAACTCGACGCGAAAAACATAATAACTCATCTGACGTTTATTTCAATGAAAATATGCCTTTAAAAATAAATCAACAAAAAATCCCACTCAACGATAAAAATGAAATTGTTAAAATGTTACAAATTAAATTGTCTAAAGTAGGCATTAAATCTATACAGCAATGTGCAACTGATGCAGATATGACCATTGTTACTACTGCCATAGAAATAGCAAAATGTTAACAAGAAAGTAGTCGTTGTGTCAGAAGATACCAATGTTCTAGTCACTGCTCTCACTCCATCTAATTGTGAAGTTTTCTTTCTGAAACGGCTCGACGAAGTAAAGCCGAAGAGGTATATTCTTCGAAAAGTTTGAATCACATACCATCTGTTTTGGAGCATATTTTATTTTTACATGCCTTTACAGGTTGCAATACAATTTCTTCCAGCGTATTTCAAGGAAAAATAATTTTTTTAAAACATTTCAAAATAATCGAGACCTTGCCCATGACGCACAAAATTTCAAAGAAGTTGGTCTTCTTGGAAGAAGAAACTGTTGAGAAAATAGTTAAGCACGGCTCAAAATTAGTTTTAGTAATCTATGGTGCCTCGCTCAATTTCAGAAAACCTAATATACCGGATAAATATATAGCATCAAATATTCAGTTGGCTGTAACATATCGGTATAGGATGTATCTCACGGCTATTTCAAAAAATAAAAAGGTGTCGATTTAGCTCGAAGCTCAAAGAAGATTCCTAGCATTAAATGATGACACAGCCTCCTGGCCCACAAAGTGTTATTAGTTTAAGTTTTTGCAGTTGCAAAAAAGTCTGCGGCTGATCATTATGGATGTAGAAAGAATGGCTTGGTTTGCAATTTGACATGTAAAAATTGTGCTGGTTCCATCTGCGCAAATATGGAGAATTATGATAAAAATCAGTCGGTCAGATAGCCAAGCGGGCTGGGCGGCCGGTTTCTCGTTCGCTTCACTGCGAGTGATTCAGTGAATGTGAGTTCGATCCCCAGCTCGGTGTACAGTAAACAAAAAGGCTAACGCAGCAGTTTAAAATTCTAGATGAATCTGCGGCTTAGACCAGAATATGCTGGTGCCTGATCACAGCAAGAGATAAGGGCTTGCGGCTCGGTGATACTCCTCCATAGATCCCTACCGGAAAGGCGTACCGCCTAAATACCGATTTATATATATATATATATATATATATATATATATATATATATATATATATATATATATATATATGATTTCAGATGTTTTCCGGGTTTGACTCCGCGTTAAGTAATTTTGGTTTTTAGAAAAACCATTGTTTTGACGACGTTTCGGCAAGGTCACACTTGCCATTGTCAAGTCAGATTAGTTCTGCTTCGTCTTGAGTTTCAGGAGAACTCGTTCCCTGAAATCACATATAGCTCCCGCGGAAACTTCAAATCCAATATATATATATATATATATATATATATATATATATATATATATATATATATATATATATATATATATAATATATATATATATATATAATATATATATATATATATATATATATATATATATATATATATATATATATAATATATATATATATATATATATATATATATATATATATATATATATATATATATATATATATGATGAAAATCAATTATCTGATAAAGAAACTGATGATGAGGATAAAAAATGTTTGTATTTATATTCAAGAAATCATATTTTAACTTTTATTTAATACCATACCTCATAATAACAAAACTCCATGAGACGAGGTCCACCCTGAGTACCAGGTAGCTCGAGGATCATTTCCGTCATAATGTTCAGCAACCTCTAAAATCTCAGAGTAATTACTTCTTGATACTTTCGACTGAAAATAAATAAAACTCCAGACGTGATCCACCCTGGGCACCAGGTACCTCGAGGAAGAACTACCTCGAAAACTCCTGGGGAATGACCGTCGACTGATTTATAGAAAACATTCTCCAGAAGATTAGGTCCAGTCAGGACGCCAGGAGCTCGAAGTTGAATGCAAAAAGTTGCATAGTGATTCATCTTACTGCGGGAAAAAATAATAACCAGCGAGAGTGGCTATTTTGCGTTTCTATAGTGCTGTATATGACAAACTGTTAGTATTTCGATCCATTATAAGAAAAACAACACATTGTTTCTATACAACAAAAGTATGTGTACAACAAACTCTTAAAATAGATAAATAATAAACTTCACATTTAAACAATTTTTATTTTAAGAAAACAGCATTCATTTATACTTTGTTACAAAAAATACCTCATACGAGAAAAAACATCACACAAAGCGTTAACATCAAGAATTGCTACAAAATACAATAAATAATTAGGAGATCATGAAACATAAGAAATAAAAACTCTTCAGAGTCTCAACGAATCGAAAAGCAAAAATTGTAAATAAAAAATTACAATATTCAATTTTTTATTGTAGAAAAAATTAGCCCTTTTTATTCTGAGTATTGCGCAATTATTATGGGTGTTTTCTTTGGTTTATTCCCACATAGTTTCGGAACCTTACTGTTATTTTTGCTGGCATTTTCATTAAAATATGTCTCAGTGTTAATTCTTTGAATCATTATAAGGAGAACGCATATTAAAGTACATACATAGAGATTACATCGCCATTATTCCTTAACGAAGTAACGATTTTCTTTAATATACACCCTGTACATTAACGAAAATTATTGAAAATTTAAATATAATCAAATAGATTATAAGATTTCTATAAGTTTAGACTACTCCTAGTAATAAGAATGAGAAGTGCTTTCATTGCCACCAAAATTAGGTGATATAAACGACATGAAAAAAAAACGATAATTTACACATACAAAAGTGGCTTTATTGAGAGTAAAAAACTAGCCGAAGCATTTGAGCCTTTTTGATACGTTCCTTTAGAACCTGTTAAAAAATGTAGTATCCAGCTGATGTTAAAAAATATTTTAAAACGTTATTTACAACCCATATTTATTTCCAAAAAGTCTTAGCTTCTATTCATTCTGTTACCCCATCCTCTTCTGTGATCATCCTTAAATTCGTCCTTAGCTCTCATTCTAGCTATGTACTCCTCGTTGTCTTCTTCCACTAGTTTCTCGTTTTCCTCCTGGTCTCTTTCTTCTTGATTTAGAGACACGCCGGAAGAAGCTGCGTCTTGCAAAGATATGGGACCTTGTCTGGGTTTATTTGGATCAGGAAAGATGCCATCTTCAACACGTTTTTGGTAAAATTCTTCAACCTAAATAAAATAAATACTATAAATAAAAATCTTTCTCTCCTGACAAAATACAGTTCGTGTTTAAAATTTCCCCAAATTATTTATTTATTTATCACTCGCAAACCATTTATAGATTTATTACAAATTTCTATAACAATTATTTACACTTACACTGGAAACATTTTATCATAAGTAGTTCTTTAAATAGATTCCGTAGATTAGAGAAACTTGAAAGAGGCAAATATTAATAAGTCTCTCAAAACAGTAACGCAGAAAGAAATGGCGAGGCTTTATAAAGGAGGTCAAAACCCTCAAAGGTTTATTTGGTCCATTGAAAGTAAGTTCTTTAAGTATTTTTTACGTTAATCAATTTTGGAATCAATGTAGATGATTTGGTAATAAATTATTTTCTTTATGTACTAAGCTTGCTCCATATATTAATACAATGAAAAGGTATAAAGGATGCCAAACTGCCTGTTTCTGGACGGAAGATCTAACTTAAGTATTGTCAACAATTGTGAGTTATCAACAACAGCATAAATAAGAATGGCAACCATATATTAATTAATATTCTTCGACCTTCTAAAGTATGCAAGGAAACACTGCTCATAATGCTATTCATATTCTTCCCTTCCCTACGATAATGTGATCTAAAAGTTGCAATTCTTAAGAACTATGTAGTTCTGGACTTTTTTATTTGATAAATATATCAATTTTGAGGACATTTTCCAAACAATGAAGCAATATTTGCAGAGTGGGTCTTACCAGATAGCAAAACAGTCTCTTAAAAGTAAGAATAGGAAATTCCTTTGTAAATTTCTGAGTAGATTCATGGCCTAAAATGTAATTTGATTATTGTGATTTTAAGAGTTTACAACCAATCAAAATGCCAACATTAGATCATTCAGTTTTAATATTAACTACTGTATTATTAATTGAATACAAACAATTAATGGGGTCTCTTTGTGTATAAAATGTGTTTTTGCAGCATTTGTTACTGTTTAAATTTATTTTATTTTGCACCCTTTAAAGAAGGAATTTAAATCTCGAAGAAAAGGGCAGTGACACATCCTACACGCGTCGGTCTCTGTACAGAAAACGATAGAAAAGTTTTTTCTTTATAGAAATATATTAATATCTATTAACACTACAATCTACAATGTTGTGAATTATACAGGGTGCTCCAAAAACGAGAGGTATATCAAAGTCAATTGCGTTTTTACCTTGTTTTAAGCTCTATGCTTCTTCAAGGATGGGTTTGATTATTTGGATGCTTATGCTTGTTTGGTTTGAATGCCGGTTTTCGCTCGTACGACCTCGGATTCCGGATTGCCAAGACTAGGGGCGCCGCCGCTAAAGAAGTGTATAGGAAGAGGAAGAGGGATGGGACGGATACCGAGAACAAGAAATGGCAAGAGGTGGAAATCGGATCTTCCGGAAGAGTCAGCCAAGTGAACCAAGCCTGTCACGGAGTACAAGTTCCGTGGAAAAACGATTCCTTTCAGATTGTTAGTCATTTTTGTTTGTTGGAAAACGCGTGGAGGTACACTAGCCTTGTGATGAAACTACAGAAAACCAATCTCCCCCTGTCCTTGTGATTATTTAAGCGACTCTTAAGGAGTGTATGCGGTGCTCACAGTGTAGGTGGTGTGTTGGATGTTTGTGGCGGTTTTCTGTGTTTACTGGTTAGGATTGTGTGTTTATTGGTTGTGGTATGGGATTTAGTTGTTTATTAATTAGGATTGTGAGCGGAGTGGAGGTAAAGTGTGTATAGGGTGGATGTTGTATGACTGCATATGCGTGTGTGATGATGTGTGTGGTGTGTTTTTAGATGTGTAGATGGGTAAAGGTTTGATTAATGAGGTTGTTTGTGCATGAAGTGGCTATGGCACATCCATACATTGCATTGGAGATTTGGTTCAGGAATAGGGTTATTGCGCATGGATGTGAAGTGGATTAGGGATTTCATATCGGAGGATAGGTCTTAGGAAGGGATTTGCTTCTCTGTGTATACTGGTTGGGTTTGGTTGTAATTAGCGGGATGAGCGCTACGGTGAGGACATCGTGGTGAGAAAGCGGGGTGAGGACCGTTACAGTTAGGACATTTGGGAGCAGATATCGTGGGGCAGGCAGAGGACCGGTGGCTGAGCCCGCAAAACGGGCAAATGTTTGATTTTTCGGGGCATTCTTTGTTGAAATGTCCGCTTTTGCAACATTTCGAGCAATATTTCGATCGAATGGGTACGGAACTGCCTGATCGTGGTATTTCACAGGCCAAACGTTCACCCTCAATCAAAATACCGCTCGAGAGCGCTTCAGCGAACTTTATTTCAGAGTTAGTGAATACTGTGATGTAGGAGGTGGGTTGGTTGGTGGAGCGGGCGATTATTCGAACTACTTTGGTGTATGAAAAATTGTTTTCGGATAAATTATCCTCGATGATTTTTTGGGGAGGGTTTTTGCCACGCTGGCTATGACTAGGTGGAAGATTGACGAATTGTTTGGATTGGGTTGTGGATTTTGTGGATGTGGTCGTTTTTGATGACTTTTCGGAGATTTGCCGTGATGTTGGCGATGTCAAGGAGTTTGGTAGTTCGAATTGAGGCTGCCTTTTGGGCGGGGAAGACTTTTATCGAGTCTAAATAAGGGATGAGGTTGTGTTCTTGGAGGAGGCGATAGAATGGTCTCTGCTGGCAGATATCTGTAGGGATGTCCTCGATTCTATAACTTTTGAATTGAATTGGTTGTTGAGGGGTGGGAGGGGTGATTGTTGGTTGGGGGTTTGGTGAGGTGGTTTGTGAGTGAATAGGGTGTGGTGTTGGTGGAGTGTGTGGTGCTGCTATTTCTGGTGTGAGTGTGTGTAGGGGTTTGGATGAGGGGGTTGAGGGTAGGGGGGGTTTGTTGAGGTTTGTCTGCCCTGGAGGTGGAAGGGGTGAGGTGGTATTGCTCTGGTTGTGTGTTTGTGTGTTTTTTTTGGGAGAGGCTAGGATTTTGGGAGTGGTATTTTTGGATTCTATGTATTCTGAAGGTTTCTGTTTGGATATGGATATATGGCTTTCGGTGATGGATCTCAAACATTTCTCCCACTCCTTAAGATTTGGAAGATATACATTCAGTTTATTACTAACATTTATATGAATATTTACATAATTTATTTTTTATTTATTTTAATGGCCTTGTTAGATAGAATAAGCCTTTATGTAATTTTTTGTATATTAATTAGGGAATATTTGTTTGCCAACCCTTCTGATGGCATGTGCCAAGGAGAACAAATGTCACTAAAAGTATTGTATTGTATTTTTTTTTTATATTGAGAAATAAAAGGCATTATTGATTGATTGATTGATTGATTGATTGAAGATTTGGACGAGGGCCTGTTGTGTAGAGGATGGCCTGGTTTTCGGATGCTTCCGTTTCCAGTTCGAAAGGGATATCTCCAAGGAGATTATGGTTTTTAAGGGTTCTTAGGAGTTTTCTTTGGCTGAAATATTTTTGAGGGATTAGTGTGATGTAGTATCTGTGTGTGTGGTGTGTTTTTTGGAATAGGTTTTGGGATAGGTTTGGTTGGTTTTGAAGGAGGAACAGGAGAAGGTGAAGGTATAGGAGAGGGTGGTGGTAAGGGTGGAGGGGTGGGGGAGTGGAGGTAGGGTTTGGTGGAGGGGAAGGGAAAAGGGATGTATCCAGGGATTGCAGACATAAAGGCATTTTGGAGGATTTTCCGGATGGTATCAGGAGTTGGTGATTTTGTTTGTTGTGTTTTTTTGATTTTATGGACTATTGGAGTGAGGTGTTCGCTGGCCGCCTCAGGATTTTGGTGGCAGATCTCAGTAAGAGCCTGCTTGCATTCCTGTGGCGTCCTTAGTTCATGTCCGTCAATATTGACTGACACGTGTGAGGTGTGTGAGGAAGAAGAGGATTGGGAGTCGGAAACAGATTGACAATCTGTTCCTCTATATATATATATATATATATATATATATATATATATATATATATATATATATATATATATATCTTCTTCTTTTCGTCCACTCCTAGCGGAGATTGGAAATCATCATGGCCACTGCGACTTTGTTAGCAGCGCGCCTGAAAAGTTCAATCGAACTACACCCGAACCATTCACGTAGATTACGAAGCCACGATATTTTTCTTCTTCCCACACTTCTTTTGCCCTTAATTTTGCCCTGCATGATGTTTCTTAAAAGTTCGTACTTTTCACCTCTCACAATGTGCCCCAAGTATTCCATCTTTCTAGTTTTTATCTCATTTAGAATTTCGCATCTTTTGTCTAAAGAAAGACTCTAATGAGTGTCAATTGTTTCGCCGAACGTTTTCGCCAAAGAGAATTAATTTGGTTTCGTTGAAAGAGAATAAATTATAATTAGCTACCATATATTATCTAATAAAAAACATTTATCCTACCGTAAATTTTAGAAATGTCGAGTTAGGATGTTAAAAAACTTAGCTAGTAACAACATAGTGGTGTTTTTTTTGTTACTATGTGCAAAAAAGTTTTTTTGTTAACGTTGGAAATGTATGGTAGTTTTGAACTTAAAACGCAAAGGTTTACCCAAGGTTAATCGAAAAACCCAATGTAACTACATTTAAAGGAAGTAATTCTTTGAATTGTCGGCAATAACTAAATTTTTGATTGTTATAAAGTTTGAATGTGAGGCTCTGTTTTCTTAGAACGCAAGCGCTGACAATTAGAAGTAGTGTTTTTGAATATTTATGTCGTTAAGGTTCATTGGTAAAACCGATGAAGTTAGATCCCAGTTTGGGGAGATATTATTTTAGAATTTTCTTAATTGAAATATTTTTTTAATTAGTATATTGTTCATGTATTATTATAATAATATCTTATTGAGATGTATCTAAGAAAAGCAAGGGAATGTTATCTTTTTTAGTTAATGAAAATTATTATTAAAGTAGGTTAGTTGTTAATAGATATATCAGTCAAGTTAGTTATCTGTGATGTTGTATTGTTCTTGGTATCTGATTTAAGTAAGAAGTGGTATATATCGCTTAGATTCTTAATGTCACTCTTAACATTGATGGAAAAATCGTTAAGGAAAATATAAGACATTTCACTAAACTCTCTTTTAGATTTATTGTTCTCACGGTGGAGAATTGTAGTGTTCGTATAGTCCATGAGATGACCAGTGGAATGGACTTATTTGGCTAATGCACAGCGGCCAGGGTGAAGTCGAGAATCACTTTTGTGTAGTGTAATACGTGATTTCAATAATTGAGATGTTTGGCCGATGTAGGAATTGCTGCAAGAGAGGCATGGAATGTTGTAGACAATATTACTAAGCCTATCTATATGAGTCTTATCTTTTATCTTCGAATAAAGATTATTAATTGTTAGGGCTGATCTACAAGCCACATTAAGTTTAATGTTATTATTATTATTGCCAAAGCTATTTTCAACACTTTTCAGAATCTTTGTTAAACCGGAGTGATATCTCTGAAATAGGGTAGTGAAAAATATTTATTGATAGGAGTATCCGAGACTGGGTTCCCACTTAAGACATCAGGATCAGCATTGTTAGTCACGATGGAAGGTGAAGTATCTTCGTTATGGATAGTGTTAAACAAAATCTTATTTACTAATGGTGTTGGATAAGAGTTTGAAATAAAAAGTTTCTGTAGGATTTGTAGGTTTTTGTATGAAATGAAGGATCTGATAGTTTTATTACTCTATTTTTCATCTGTTTGATTAAGTTGACTTTGGTAGAATTATTATGTAGAATTGTTATATTTTTGTGAAGATATAAAATATCTAAGAATGCCTATAATGTAGAAATAATTTGCTACTTTCTACTATAAACAAAGTATAAAATAATGTGCAAATGAGAAGGTAATTTTCATATCCCCACATGTCCAAAAATATATTTTTTAAATAAGTGATGTTTCTAAATTCGTCATTTTAAAATGCATTGCCTGTCATGTTTATTGCCGATCAAAAATCCACATTTCCAGTTGTAATATTAATTTAAAAGTAGGTGTTTAAAGCAAAACCCCACATCTGTTGTGTGACGGTTATAGCAAAACTCCATATTTTCTATTCTGCCATAGAGGAGTAAGTATTCCAATCACGTGACTTAAATACATAGTTTTGATTTGATTGTTATTGTTGACAGTAAACAAGCTTAACAGGTTAGTTTCAGAGGAAAATTATAATTTAATGTTAGTTTGTGCTTAATTGAGAGAAATTATGAGTTTAAATGGAGGTAAGTTAGATAGTGAATTAGTATTAGTTGGAAGACTAAGTTCTGGATCACGAAAAAGACAAAAGACAGTTACAAAGCGTCAACTTCTTAAGAAAAAGAGATACGCTGCTCCTGCTGGTGGTTGTGTGTTCATAGGTTGCTTACATAAAGGAAAAGCTTTTAAATGTTGTGAAGTTCGGCGTAGTGATGCCAGTGCATTTCGGAAAACACTTTATTCAAAAACCGAAAAACTTTTTCAGGACCAATTAGTTGGGAGGTTCATAATAACAAAAAACGTTCAACGTCGGAGGTCCTGACAATCTGCTAGGGCTAGGTTTACATCAGAAAGAGTTCGACGACTTGTATCAAAACTAAAAACTAACCAAGGACTAGAAGACAACAGAGGAGGTGATAGAATAAGCCAAAGATCACTGGTTAAGATGGAGGCGGTTCGCCAGTTTATTGGAAATTTAAAGGGTACTGAAAGTCACTACAACCGCAACAAATAAAAAAGAGAATATTTAAGTAGTGATCTTTCAATACGAAAATTTCACATGATTTATAATGCTAGTGCAGAAAATCCCAACTCCAAGTAAAGTTGTCAATGTTTCGTAAAATATTCAGCGGACAGTTCAAATCTCCGGCATCTGACGTCGGTGGGTACTGTGCCATGATGAACTATAAAATTAAAAATGCTGCAGGAACTCAAAAGCAGTTACTTTTTACTGAAAAAAGAATACACAAGAAAAGGGCAATTGTTTATATGATCTAATGAAAGAAACCAAAGAAAAAGAGAAAACCTTATGCTTTGACATGCAGCAGGTGTAACCACTTCCTCGAACACCTATTCAGCAGGCTTTTTATGCCAGACAATTAGGTCTTTACAATGTTTGTGTAACAGATATTAAAAATGACAACACCCCATACTTTTATATCTGGACCGAAGAGCAAGCAGGGCACGATTCAACCGAAGTAGCTTCCGCTCTTCTTAGTAATCTTCAATCAGATGACCTTAGAGATGTGACCACCTGAGATTGTTTTGTGATGGATGTACAGGTCAGAACAAAAACAATCATGTGCTTCATACTTTAATGTACTTTTTAGCAGCCCACGAAATATATATAAATTTATTATATATACATATATATATATATATATATATATATATATATATTATATATATTTATATATATATATATATATATATATATATATATATATATATATATATTTATATATATATAATATATATATATATATATATTAGTGATGTAACAAATGTCATTTTTTAAACATTCGCGAATGCGAATGCGAATATATGCCACCAACATTCGCGAATGCGAATACGAATATTCAGTTTTTTTTTAATTTGGCAATTTTAATTGTCTCCGGCACTGCCGGCAGTCTCATTTGCGCGAGGTGTGTAGGCAATTGGAAAAAGTCTGTCATTGTTAACTGCTTTAAATTGTCCAATATCATTCTATCATATTTGCTAAAGTAAAGATGTGAAACAGTTGTATTTATTGTAAAGAAGTTTATTGTAGGCGGTTAAGTTTATTGAGGGGTCGTTTAAAAAGGTATTTATTTATAGTCACATCCGGGCTAAAAACGTAGAAAGCACGTTGTTCGATCTTATTTTCTCTTGTTATAATCAAATTTGACTTGTTATAGAGAGAAAGTTATAGCAGAGAACTAAGTTCTCTGGTTATAGTTCCAATAAAAATTTCACGGGACATAAGTCACTCCACTTGCCCTGCTCTGCTCGTGCACAAATACAAGTGAATTTTTAGTTAAAGTGTGATTAGCGATTTATTACTATGAGTAAATCAAATTATAGTGAAATATGGACTTATTTTTCACCACTTTTCGATACTGAACGAGCTAAATGCAAGCTGTGTAATATTCGCAAAACATTCGCACAAATTTTGCGAATGCGAATGCAAATGCGAATATGCAAAAATATGCAAATATTCGCGAATGCGAATGCGAATATTCGTTACATCACTAATATATATATATATATATATATATATTATATATATAATAATATATATATATATATATATATATATATATATATATATATATATATATATATATATATTATATATATATAGCTTTGACATTTTTCTGAAATGCCATGGCATAAATATGTCTCTGTCTCTGGGGGCTCTTAAGTAACTTAATGCTTCTAGAAACAAATGCCAATATGCTTAGATGCCTTAGTTCAGATACCTACTAACAATTTATTAATTGAAATTGTATAATTTAAGGTATAGGTCTCCTCTTAAGTAGAAAAATGATTTATTATTAACATATGCATTGATCTAATTAACTTACTGTCATAACAGGTAAAGATGGATACCCAGCACCAAACACAGCTTTCTGTACTTCATCCTTTGTTATAACAATGGGTCTTAGAGGTGGAGGAGGTGGTCTCTTTGGTTGAGGTTTTTCCTCTTTCTTCATATTAGCCATGTGCTCTAAAATTGGCTTTTCCATATCAATACTGTTAAGTTCATCAATAGATTCATAAATAAATAGTTTAATCATAGTTAGAAAGTATTTTCTTTTGATTTCTTCATCAACATGTTCATTTTCCATGTTTGTCTTTAGGTCTTCTAATTTAGATTTTAGTTCTTTTTGTTCTTTAAATCTAAAACACAATTATAACGAATTTATTTTGTCACATATTAAGAAAATGTATAGCAAATTTGTGTCCCATATATCAACAAAGAAGACTTAGAAGATCTTAATATCAACACAAAAACAAGAGTAATCTAGTTTCCTAAAAATGAACAAAAAAGTACTTTTTGTAATAAAAATACAGATTACTTGACAAGTCTACATATCTGATCACCTATAAACATCCAACATTGGGACATGGCTCTATATTTCATTTTTTCTATTCCTCTTTATATAAATACTTTGCATATATTGTGGTATAGCATGTTATTTTGATGATCAGATCATCTAATATTGTTCTGAAGCTATTTTCTCTTGGCATCTTAATATTAATGTTTTGTATTTTATTAATGATGTTTTAAGTGGAAATCAAAATGTCAAAATAAACTCATTGTTTATGTAGGAAATATATAATTCAGCTGAAATGAAATGAAATGTAAGTGGCGCTTCATAATAAGGCGCCGACCCTTGCTGTGACCATGGGATAGTATCATATTATCGACTTAAGGTAAAATAAATGCATTATTTTAAATGCAAGTGTTCACTGTCAGTGCTATGCTCTAGGTGAGGTTACAATGTGATGGTCTCCTTAATGAATGCACCCTTAAGGAGTAAAAATGGGAAGAATTTTGGTACAATTGACACCATTAAGTATCAGCAAAAATAATTTATTGAAACAACCAGTTACCCTTTATTGTTGTAACAATTGGAGGAAGGCATTTTTGCTGTATGTGTAGTAAAGAAATGTATGTGTCACATACACTCTATGGAGATGATGAATTGTGGTCCATTTTGCAGAGCAACAATATTGATGAATCTTTGCCTCCTTCAAACAAGGGGCACAGGTTCTAAATCAAGAAAACAAGTGGGAAATGGGTGAACTCTCAGTTCACAACCTTTCTTGAAGTAATAAAAAAAAACCAAAAATACTCAGAGTTTATTGATAAGATTAAAATATATGATCTGGGGTGAAATTAGGATGTTTCCTACATACATATTTAAGGGTATATTCTAATTTTTTGTTGTGGTTATCAAAAAATATTGCATGCTGATATAAAATGTGTTTAAGTTGCCAATTTTAACTTGGGAAAATTAAAGAAGAAAATGAAGATAAACAATGAAATAAGAAATTAAATTATGTAATTAAATAATTATGTTAAAAATATCAAGAAAAATAAAATAAAGTAAACACTAATTACTTTTCCAAACACTTATTTTAAAGTGAAAGTGTGACTTACTCCCAATAAAAATAGTAAATTATATCAGATTATCTAAATTTTATAATTTTTTTTTTGCGCTACATGGACTAATTTCATAGACTACAGTGGAAGCTGTCTCTTGGAAGGTAAAAATACTACATGGAGTACACTCTAACAATAGGAGTTTTAGCTGAAGATTTTTTGTTGTCTCCTTTATAAAAAGGCTTAAATACTCTGTAAAATAAAAATATTAACACAAGACACATGAAAAAACCAGAGAAATGATAAGAAAATTCTTCTTCATATAAAAAAAATATAAGAGTTTTGTGATACATAGTTGTAGTTTGTAGTAACCACTATAGGTATGTATTGAACAGATCAAATGCAAATGTATATAAAAAATGATATAATTATAAATAAGGTATGTACCTTTGTATTTTATTAGCTCTAGTGTTGACAGAGTACTCCAATTTCTCCAAATCTGTCCTCTCCCTCTGTTCTTTCTCATCATTTTTATGTTTCTCTTTAAACTGATAATTACTCATACCATAATCATTACACCTCTTTAAAAAATCCTTAAAATATATTTCTGCTACATCTACAATATCTTTCCTTTCTCCTGAAGTTAATTTTAGACTTAATGAACCTAAAAATGCTGGAAGAAGAAAATACTGTAGATCATTTGTTGGTATCTCTTCTATTCCTTCATTTGTGCTAAATATGCTTGATAATGATACCAGTCTCGTTGCCTGTTCAAAAGTTTTCATAGTTTTCTTGATTTGTGTCTATAACAAAATAGTAATTAATGAGGAACTACAAGAAGCCTTCAAATATTGTAAAGGCAATCTACTTGTACAATAAGATGTACATGTAAATACTATTTTTCTTATTGTGACTTAATTTTCTCTATTCAAGTTACTACCGATATGTAAAAAAATCCATAAATAAAACAAAAGAACTTGTTTCATTCATTTTGTTTAAATTAATGTATTGTTCTTATTGTACTTGCAGAGTAAAAAAAACAAATATTAGGTATGTATATATAAATAAAACCTTGTTTTAAGCTTTTATTTATTTGTATTCATTTTTAAAGAGTTTCCTTCTTAAGATGAATCAATTACTTATAAATAGAAATTTCTGAAATACCTGCAATTCATTGCTATTTGTAGGCTGGTCACTGTTAATTATGGAATTGTAGTTATTTAAACCTTCCTTGAACATCGAACATAGAGTTTGGATATCTGCTTCCCCTGTATCTTTCGCATTTTGGGCCATATTGTTATAAATATTTACCGTTTGATTTTTAATTTCGGTTCGGTTAGTTGATGACGACTTTTAGGTTATGTTAGTTTACTTTGATGACATTTTTGACGTTTGTTATGTCAATGCGATGTTTGTAGTGCTTATTTGTACGTTCGGAAGTGTATACACAACCACACAGTTTTTATTATTTGTTTTGGCCCACCTTTGTTGCCATCATCGAGTTGTTGTTGTTTGTTTGTGTTTAAATGACTGCGGACACTAAATCCATTCGCCAATCTTACAATTTGAGGTGTAGTGTGTGTGTGTGTAGAGTAATTGTCTTGATACTTAGCAAAGTCGACGTCATTGTCTTTGCTAAGAGACGCTAATTGTATCCGAACGATCATCGAGTTAGAACTCGATCGTTGCCATCAATCAATAAAAAAATTGTGCTGAAAAAATGTTTGAGCCCTTACCCAAAGATAATACAGCTACCGTTCCCCTCATTTTTTTACATGCTCCCGATTTTGATGTAAATATTAATTAAGGACCTCTGGTGTACAACTCGTATCAAGCATCAAATAGGTACTCAAAGGGTAGCGACAGCTCGAAAATGTCACCCAGGATTTTGGGTTAATAGCTTATAAGCAACATGCGGCACCCTTGAAGACCAATATACTGAAGATTAATATCCACTGATTATGTTATAATATAAGAGTGCTTCATCCCAAAAAGGTCTAATATATACATATGCGATTTCAATACGGAATGAGTGAGTGCGGACTGTTGCTCCCCAAAATACTACTTAACGTAAGCTAATTAAGCTATTACCTAACAAAGCTATTATAGAACATCCATGTAAATATTGCATTAAATGCGCTTAGAAGCTCAAGCAAACTCCGGTAAACAATTCCTTTCGCCCAAGTAATTTGCAAACGAGATTTTTCGAAGTTAAATTTATTACAGACCAGGCTTTGTTCTTAGATAACAAATGAAAATGTGAAGATGGTGCAATAAAACAGAAAATTTCTTGTAAGAATTGATATGTTATATTTATTTGCCTTGACTCTAGGGGCTTATCCTTCAAAGGGAGATAAAAAATTTCTTTGTTATTATATTTTCTTCTAAATTTTCGAATTTTGGTGTTCCCAACGCGTAAATCATAGTATTATATTAAGAAAATCAAATTTCATCGGTAAAAACTATTTTCAGATAATGGAAAATACCAAAATACTCCGATTTTAGAATTTAATTTTTATGGAGCCTTAAGAGCGCACTAAAAAATCAGAAATAGAGTTTCTTTATCTTAGAGTGCCGTCTTACTACGGAGGTTGGCAATCATAATGGCTATTTTTATTTTTGAACTTGCAGCTCTAAGCAAATCAATCGATCTGCATTAATACCAATCACGTAGATTCTTCAACCATGAGTTCTGCCATCGGCCAACATATCTTCCTTGAATCTTTCCCTGTATTATGAGTCTCATAATTTCATATTTTGGTCCCCTCATCACGTGGCCTAGGTATTCCAGTTTTCTGGTTTGTATAGTGGTGATTAGTTCTGTTTCTTTAACAATCCCCTCCAGCACTTCTTTATTTGTAATTCTATCAGCCCATAATATTTTTAATACTCGGGGGAGTTTCTATTGACCACCAATCACAATGATTTCCCTAAAATTCTATTAGATTCTTCTGTAAAAGCAGTTGAAAAATTACTCACACGTTTTAAAAATTTATTTGAGTATACAGCGAGTACAAAAGAGTATAAGGGACAGTGAGGAACTTCTCTCCCTGGCTGATAAAGTTTATGGATTAAATTCAAAATAAACTTTACAAATAATACTGATTTACTTTACATGGATTAGGATTTCAAAAAAGTTATTTAAAAAGGATATGAGTCTGGCGCCTTCTGCCTCCTAAAGTTAAGGTTGATGAATTTCTTTTGGTCAGTACGGCCCTGAATTTTAATAATAGATTTTTAAAACAATGGTGTTCAACGCAGATGAAAAAACAAAACTTGTTATTTCCGTACGGCCTATAGCAGTATTTGATTCAGGAATTCAATGTTGATTTTCCTTAGGAATATCACGAATTAGCCTACAGTTACAACACCTTTTACAATATTTTTTAAAAATTGTGTACAATTATTCGAAGACATTTTGTAGTGTAGGTAAAAAAATGGATGTGGTCTTTGGTCTATATACGACATCTTATTTCTTGTGAGTGGTCCCATTCATTCATTTTAACATTTCAATAAAAAGTTTTACCTAGAGCTATAAACTGGCAGATTTTGTAACTCTTACTAAAGAACAAAACTCAATTTTAATGAAACCTCATTTTAATAAAAAAAAGTCACAAAAGTTTAAATCAACACAAATATCACGATTTTAAAGACGACAAAGTTCGTCTACAGTCAAGTACTCATTACCTTACCGATAAGTGAAAAATCACTTAAATTATCTTTGAGCAGAACTCATTATCTTACCGATAAGTGAAAAATCACTTAAATTATCTTTGAGCAGAACTCATTATCTTACCGATAAGTGAAAAATCACTTAAATTACCTTTGAGTAAAGTTTAATTTATCTTTGCTCGCTATTTTATCTTATCTTCTTATCTATCGTGTTTAGGTGGAAAACCACTTACAATTATCTGTGTGAAAGCTCATTACCTGGTCAGTACGCGAAAAATCATTTGCATACTGCACCGTTAAAGTTGTAATAATTTTAATTACGTTATTATACTTTTATTATCTATATAGTAGTTATAGTAACTCCTATATTATCTAGTATAAGTTTTTATTTGTATAAAAAACTGATACTCAATCCTTTATGTATTTATCAACCCTGAATGGCGATAAATTATTTTTGCTCTGTCCTACGGCCAGTGATAAATCAAGTTACAATGTATGAATCATGAGAATGAAATTCTCGACGCAAATCTTTTTTTTTCCTTCTATATTTCGGAATCTGTTTTGACCTTACTAATTGCCACGAGAGGAACGGCTAGGATGATGATCTGGGATTCGTCCGCTAGGGCCCTGTTGAGCTTTTAAGGAAGACAGCCACATTCCTCTTAATTCTTCTTACTCTTTCATTTCAGTTCTTTAGTACTGATGTTGTCTACAGACCCCTTTCCCTGATATGACTTAGAAGTTTTCTTTATGTCAACTCAACCCGATTGTGACCCTAAATTAAATTTAGGCGTGTGATACGCGAAGCTATCAACTGACAACCAGGTACTCAACTTCTTTTCTTCTTCTTCTACTCTTATTAATGCTAGTTGAGTTTTATTTAATTCTTTTTGACTTCCTCTTTGGCATGGGCTTTCATTGTGATTAAGATTCTATCAAGTGCTGTTAATTAAGCCATTTCGATACCGTGTTTTTAATTAGAGATTTCCTAAAAATATCTCGTTCTCTAGTTTATCTTAACTAATTACTTATGAGTACCGATTCGATGCTATCTCTTAAATAGGCATTTTGTTTGTATCGAGGTTTACCTTAAATAAATTTTATTATCTTGACGTTGGGGTACTTCATACATAATGGGAATAAGAGAGATGAGATGGACGAACTCTGGGCAATGTAAAATTAATGATCATCATATATATTACTCAGGTAACCCTAATGGAAGACACGAAAATGGGGTAGGTATAATCTTAAATCAAGAAACTGACAGACATGTTAAAAACTTTGTACCTATATCGGAAAGAATACTCCTCCTTCAACTTAATACCTACCCAATTGCATCTAACATTATCCAGGTATATGCCCCTACAACTGACAAACCGGACGAGATAAGTGAAGCATTTTATAACGAACTATTGAACACCTTAAAACGCCTCCCCAGAAAGGATTTAACTTTGATTATGGGTGATCTAAATGCTAAAATTGGTAGGGGACAATCGGGAGAATTCATAGGACAATTTGGACTTGGGGAAAGAAACGAGCGAGGAGACCGACTGGGTGAATTTGTAGCAGAAGAAGAGTTTGTGATTACTAACACTTACTTCAAACTCCCACACAGAAGATTATACACATGGAAATCACCTCAAGATACTCCAGGCCGCATAATGAGAAATCAAATATCAAGACATACCCAGGAGCAAATCAGACCATAACCCACTGATTGGCAAAATTAGGCTCAGGCTAAAGAAGGTTAGACGTAGTGTCAATCCAAAATTCGACATCAAGCTATTAAAAGACCAACACACAGAACATAGTGTAAAGCGGTATATACAGAACAATTTGAATACCGTTATTCAATCGTATGTAATGGACCAGGAGCTAGAAAAGATACATACAGTTTCAAAAGACATACGAGAGAAATTTCTCAAGCCACCAAAAATTAAGAAGAAATCGTGGATGACAAATGAGATTCTAGATATGATGGAAGAGAGGCGAAAGTTCAAAGATCAAGACATGTCATTATACAAAAGAATCGATAAAAAGATCAAAAAAGCTATTAGAATAGCTAAGGATACACATCTAAGAAAACAGTGTTCGGAAATACAGCAATTGCAACATAAACATTATACATTTAATATGCACAAAAAAGTTAAAGAAGCCACAGGCTTATACAAACCTAGAAGAGTTGGGTGTTTGGCAGATAACCAAGACAAACCATTGTTAACTGTGGAAGAAAAACTAGACACTTGGAAGAATTATGTGGAAGTAACTTTTGCAGATGAAAGGCAAACTACCATTGAAGACACTGAATGCCAAACAGGACCCCCGATTACCATTGAAGAAGTCACGTCAGCTATTAAAAGAACTAAAGAAGGTAAAGCGGTAGGGCCTGACGAGTTTTGTGCAGAATTCCTTAAACCTATGGATGAACAGGGAATAAAATGGATAACAACTGTATTCAACAACATATACGTAACTGGAAAAATACCCCAAAGCTGGTTAAAGTCGACCTTCGTGACCATACCAAAAAAAGTAAATGCCAAGACATGCGAAGACTACAGAACAATTAGCCTAATGAGCCACTTACTTAAAACGTTTTTGAAAGTGATACACGGCAGAATATATAAAAAATGCGAAGAACAAGTATCATGGACGCAGTTTGGATTCCGCGATTCCTTAGGCACCCGAGAGGCTCTATTCGCTGTC